AGTATCACTGGTCTCTCTAGCTGGTCTTCTGGGGGAGGGGCCTGCTGTGCTGATTTTCAGGTGTTAGCACTTGGGGGAGCTGCTCTGCCCCTGCCTGCTGCCGGGCTCAGCGGGGGTTGTTTACCCCGTGGGGCCCCAGGAGGAACAGCCGCAGTTGCTACGGCAGCTCTGGAAGCCTGGATTCAGCCTCCGCAGGAACTACGGGGCTTGGGGCTCTCGGTTCTCCGTCTGCAGGGCCTGGAGGCTCCGGGGCGGGGCCGCTGATCTGCTCAGCTCGGGGCAGGAGCGTCCTCGCTGTCCTGGGCCCTCCCGGCCTCTGCCTGTCCCGGGGGAGGCCGGATCCTGGGCTGTGTCCCGGCGCCCTGTGCTCCGGGGCCTGCGCTGTGGGATTCGGGCTCCCGCCCTGCAGCTCCCTCCCTGGAGCCGCTCCTGAGCCCCTCCGAGCTGCTCTGGTCGGTCCCGCCGTGCGCGCTGCAGCCCTTAGGGAGCTCGGAGCACTCTCCTGCGCTCGCAGGTGTCTGTTAGTGTCCCCGGGAGCCCGAGGACATCCCCGCTCTCCTGGGTCCTGCTCTAACTCCCTGCGAGCCCCTTTCCGCCCGGGAAGGTTGGTGCAGCTCCTGCTCCTCCGGGACGGGGCTCTCCTGTCCTGGGGACACTCGCCCCGGCCTCAGCCCGGCTCCTCGTGGGGCCCCTCCCCCTCGGAGGCCTTTTGTTCCTTTATTTCTTTTTCCCCGTCTTCCTACCTTGATAGAAGCGCGGACTCTTCTCACTGTAGCATTCCAGCTGGTCTCTCTTTACATCTCAGGCCGAATTCGTAAATTTTCAGGATAGTTTGAAGGTTATCTAGGTAATTTGGTGGGGACAGGCGATTTGGGGACCCTGCTCTTCTGCCATCTTGCCCCCTATACTACTTAGTTGTGTCTTAAAGAGATTTAAATAATGAGGGGGTAAGGTCATAAATATCTACCTATGCAGTTACATTTCCAGTGCTCTAAATTCATTGTGTAGATCCAGGTTTCCATCTGGGATCATTTTCCTTCTGCCTGAAGGGTATCTTGTAACATTTCTTATACTGTTAGTTTGGTAGTGATAAATTCTTTAAGCTCTAGTATGTCTGAAGACCTCTTTATCCCATTTTTTAAAAAGATATTTTCACCAGGTATATCATTCTAGATTTACAGTTTTTTCTGTCGGTACTTTAAATTTATGACTATGCTATCTTCTCCTTTGCAAATTTTCCAAGAAGAAATTTGGTATTAACCTTATCTTTGTTCCTCTGTAAGTAAGTCTTAGCTGTATCACTGGTTTTGAACAATTCAGTTACGATGTGACTTGTTGTACTCTATTTCTTCTACTTGAGATGGAGCTTCAGATATGAGATTGTATATTTCTCATTATGTTTGGGAAGTTGGAGGCCAATATTTTTCCTTATGTTTTTCCATATCTCTAGCTGTCTTTTTGAATATATGGAATATGGGTAAAATAACTTTATTTTTGGGTAAAATAATTTTTATTGTCCTTTGATAATTTTAAAGTGTGTCAGTTCTGGGTCAGTTTTGATTGATTACTGTCCTCTTGATGGGCTATTTTCCTGCTTGCTTATATGCCTGGTAATCTTGTTTGGATGCCAGGCACTGTGAATTTTACCTTGTTGAGGGCTAGTCAATTTTTTTTATTCCTGTACACTTTCTTCTTTAAAAAATATTTTATTTATTTATTCATGTGAGACAGAGAGAGGGAGAGAGAGAGAGAGAGAGAGAGAGAGAGGCAGAGACACAGGCAGAGGTAGAACCAGGCTCCATACAGTGAGCCTGATGCAGGAATCGATCCTGGGACTCCAGGATCACACCCTGGGCCGAAGGCAGGCGGTCAACCACTGAGCCACCCAGGGACCCCCATATTCCTGTACATTTTCTTGAACTTTGCTTTGGGATTCAGTTTGATTCTTTCAGGTTTTACTTTTATGATCTATATGATAAGTCCGGAGCAGTGTTCAGTATAAGGCTGATTATTTCCCATTACCCAGGCAGCACCTTCCTGAATATACCTACTATCCTATGAATTATAAGTTTTTACAGTCTGGCTGGTGGGAACAGACACTATTCTTGACCCTTTCTTAGTGACAGATCCTGTTTCTTTCAATACTTTTGGATGGTTCTTTGGCATTGGGTAATTTCCTCATAAATTTATACTCATGAGTACTGGATCACATACTTGAGAGAAACCTCTGTGGATCTCTGGGAATTCTTTTCACAGTTCTCTTCTCTCTGGTACAGTCTTTTAAACTCTAGCTGTTTTGATCTCCCCAAACTCTTTAGCCCTATATTTCAAATCGGGAAGTTCACTGGGCTTTTCCTCAGTTCCCTTCCTTTCTGTACCACTGCCTAGAACTCAAGACAGTAAGCTGTGATGATCATAGGGCTCATGTTCTCAACTCAGTGACCATTGTCCTTTGTTGTCTATAGTCTTGAAAACCACAATTTCATATATTGTCTGGTTTTTGTTGTTCTAGGTGAGAGGATAAATCTGGGGTCCCTTTGTTTCATTACTGTCAGAAGGGAAAGCCCCTATTATAGATTTTGATACATTATATTTTCATTTTGATTCAGTTCAAAATATTTTCTAAGGTCCCTTGAGACTTGCTATTTGACTCATGGATTAGATTGTATTGTTTAATTATCAAGTGTTTAGAGGTTCTCCTTTTGTTTTTGTTACTGATTTTCTAGTTTAATTCCCTTGTGCTCAGAGAATGTACTTTGTTTTATATCAAATATTTTATATTTATTAAGACTTCTCTTATGATCCAAGATATAGTCACTATCAAATACCTTTACACATAACTTTCCTATTTCACCATACCCCTTCTCATGTCTGACTTGGCACCTCAGATGTCCCACTTCCTGCTTTCCATATCACAAATGTAATGACCTTATGGTAGTATAATTACACTTACCCTCCCCACGACCCAGCTTTTGGTAATGGTTATTACATCTTTTCATTCTATATTTGTATATCCACCCATATAATGTCTCCTTATTTTTACTTGAAATAATCAGTTCATAAAGCAAATCATGAAAACATTCACCAAATTGTTTACCATGATGGTCTTCATTCCTTCATATAGTTCCACATTTCCATCTGATATTAGTTCCCTTTGGTCTAAAGGGCAGCCTTTAACATTCCTTGTAGTGCAGTTATGCCAGTGATGAATTCTCTTAGATTTCACTTATCAGGACTTGTCTTTTAGCACCTATGCTGTCTTTTCCTCTACAGAAGTGTTGACTTTTAATGTAGTCCTATTTATCTCCATTTTACTAAATGATTTGCAGGTTTGTGTGTCCGTTTCTTCAACCTCTAAATACTGGGGTGCCCTGGGGCTCAGGTCTCAGACTTCTCTATCTACGTTAATTCCCAAGTAATCTTAGTCTCACAGCATGTGTTCACTGATGGCTTTTATGTCTGGCTCCTCCTCTGAATTCCAGTAATAAATGATAATTTAACAGACCCTTGCTGAGCTAGATATTATCCATAGTTCTTGAATGGGAAGTCTGCACTCCCTACCTCTACTTCCTCGCTTTCCATTCATAATTTAACTCACTGCAGCTTGGCTCTTGTCCCATTCTTCCAATGCTACTGCTGAGATTTGTTCCTAAGTAACACAGCCCATCCCCTTTTCTTTTCAAATGAAGTCTTTCATGAAATCAGACAGAAGCAGAACTCCCCTTGCAGCGGGTTAAGGAGAGCTGCCTGCCTTTCTCATCTCTTCAAGTTGCTCGGAGGCCTCTTTACTGAGTGCTGCCTATCCTTTAACCTCTGTAATCCCTCAAACTGCCTGATCTCCAGCCATCCTCCTTTCCATCTCTGTGCCTCTGCACAGTGCTCCTGCATCTGCTTGAACCCGCTTTAGCCAGTTTTTGTCCACTCAGGTAACATCTCCCAGCCTGTCTTCCCCTTTTTCATTCCCTCTCTTTTTTGTGCCTCCGTTATCACTCTGGCCACAGTGAATTGTAGCTTTCTACTTACACATCTCTCTTCTCCACTACACAGAAGGCTATGGAGATCAGAGACCCTGGCTTGTCCCTTTCATCTATTTAATGGCTGTCAGTGGAGTGAATGAATGGTCCAGGAAGCTGAGCTAGATAAAAATCTTAATTGGCAGGCCACCAAGGTGTTTTTTTTTATGGTTTTATTAAGATATAATTCACATACCGTACAGTTCACAGGGCTGTACGATCACCATCATAATTTAATTTTAAAATATTTTTGTTCCCCCTAAAAAGAGAACCCCATTTTCCAACAACACCTTCCCCAGCCCTCGCCAACCACTAATCCACTTTTCCAGACCACCAAATTTAACATAGGGTAAATTGATCACAAATCCTCAAAATCAAACCGATTCTGGACTATGATGTGAAATTTGGTCGGTAACTGTCCCACTCAACCAATTTGTACGGCAGGAAGTCAAACTTAGTTTGCAGCTTCAGATTTGATCCGCAACACATTAGACTCTTGGACTGCATGATCGGGAATTTATTAGAATTAGTTCCACACTGAACAAGGGTGGTTGTTGGGGGCCGGTCTGGCTTTTCACTGTTGCTGTGCAAGTAAATCCCCTTTGGCAGAAACAGGGCAACTGAAAAACTCACCATCTCTGGTAGCAATCGTGAAAAACGTGCCCGGTAACAACCTCTTCCGGGGAGTTCAGCCCTCTGGAAAATAACATGGATCAAGCATTACGTGAGCGGTCGCTTTCCGGAGCTTTTATTTTTAACGCGCCTCTTCACCGGCTCACCCCCGGGTGGGTGCTGCGAGCTGGAGGCGCGGAAGCCGGGAGAACACCGACCGCAGTGTTTCTGTGAGGCGGCCTTTGCGGAGCGGGGTCGGATCTAGCGCGTTGCCAGGCAGCAACGGCGTCGCCCGCGGCGGTCGCTCGTCCGAGTCGCTTGCGCTGTGACGCAACAGGCGCGCGGTGACGCGGCGCACGGCGCGGTGCACGCTGGGATATTTAAGTCTTCTCCGCGGCGCGGAGCCGCGATGTCTCCGGCGGCTGCGGCGGCTGGCGGAGGCGAGCGGCGGCGGCCGATAGCGAGCGTCAGGGACGGCCGGGGCCGGGGAGGGGGCTGCGGCGGCCCGGCCGGGGCGGTGGTCCTCGGCCTGTCGCTGTTCGGCCTCGTGCTGTACCTGGTGCCGGCGGCGGCGGCGCTGGCCTGGCTGGCCGTGGGGGCCACCGCGGCCTGGTGGGGACTGAGCCGCGAGCCCCGCGGTTCGCGCGCCCTTTCCTCTCTCGTTCGGAACGCGCGGCGTCAGCGGCCCCTGCACGTCTCGCCTCCGGCTAAGTCGGCGGTGAACGGAAACCTCCTAGAGTCGCGGACCCTGCTCGAAGGACCGGACCCCGCCGAACTGCTCCTCATGGGCAGTTACCTGGGCAAGCCCGGCCCCCCGCAGCCTGCACCCGCCCCGGAGGCCAGGGACCTACTGGAGAGGCCTGGCCGCCGCCGAACACCCGCTCGCGCCGCGCCGCCTGCGCCCTCGGCCCATCTTGTGCACCACACTCACCCCTCTCTCCCCACTCCTCTTCTCCGACCCCCTAGGAGGCCTTCCCACCGGTAAGATACGCCCATCTTCCCCACACCCTCCTCTCTGTTGACCGGCTTTGAATGGAGGGCTTGATTTTTAAATCCGATTTTCTGTTTCGTTAAGTCCAAAGTGGACTCTGTATCGCTTTGTCCTCTTGAAACACCTTGGTGTGGGTCAACCGTCCCGCCTGCCCTCCTTGAGCCTTTGGAATGAGATGTGATGCCAGAGCTGCTTCTTTTTTTTTTTTTTTTTTTTTTTTTTACAGTTTTTAAAACTGAATTTTAGTATAGCATTTAGAAGAATACTTGATAAACTACTAAAATATCCCTGCTTCTGGTGAAAGTATCTATGCCTTTCGAGAGTAGTTATATAGTATATTTTGTTACATTTTTCCTTTAAACCAACAGGAGCAATTACTTCAGTTAGTCAAGCTCAAAGAGGTGTTCCCGGAAGACCGCTCTTTGATAAAACTTGATTGTCAAAGAGGCAATCCCATTTACCTCCAATAGCTGAGCATTACAAAAGAATACAAAACTGGTGAAAATATTAGGTTATCAATAACTATATTTAGTTGAAAGATGAACTTTAGGTGTCAGAAATGTTTGAATTTGGGTGTATATTACTTATGACTCAGCATAAAAGATTGAAAAGACTTAAGAATTCTTGAAAAGTTCCTCCTTGCATGTCCTAACACGCACTTTTCTTCCATTGCAGTTTTACATGTGTAGGCAGGGTTTTCAATTTCCCTCGCAAAATTGTCGAAGTCCATTGGGACAGCTGTTAAGCAGCTGCTGCTGTTCATCCTTAGATGGAATGGGAAACCATTGCCATAAAAATGCTTTGTTTTGTGTGGCTCAAAAAGCAGTTTAAGGGGCTCCTGGGTGGCTCAGTTGGTTGAGCGCCTTACTCTTGATTTCTGCCTGGGTCCTGATCTCAGGGTGGTGAAAGTGTCTGCATCAGGCTCTGTGTGATCAGGGCACAGTCTGCTTGCCATTCTCTCTCCCTCTCCCTCTGCCCCTCTCTTAAGTGTGCTCGCTTTCTCTAAATAAAAACCTTTTTTTAAAAAAAAACAGCTTAAGCTTTCTGGAAGATAACCCACATGATTCTTTAGTAATTTACATTTTCTGCCATTCTTTCAGGCTTCTTTGTTTTTATAACATGTCTCCCATTCTCCATAGGGATTGTGGGACTTTATCAAACCGGTTTGTAATAACACCTCGAAGACGATACCCAATCCAGCAAGCCCAATATTCCCTTCTGGGGGTACTTCCTACAGTGTGCTGGAATGGTTATCACAAGAAGACTGTGCTATCTGCTCGTAATTCCAAAATGGTGTGCAGCCCAGTGACAGTGAGGATTGCTCCTCCAGATAGTAAATGGATTCGTTCACCAATGTGAGTGTTACTGCTGGCAGAATAAATTCCTGTTTATTTCCACTTACTCTTCCACATCTGTTCCTCTAACAAAACAACTATGAAACGAAAAAGGGAAGAAGCTGCTTATTTGAATCAGAAATCCCTAGTTTTTTGTTTTGTGTGGGACTTAATTGTAGCTTTCATTGCTAAGGGCAGTTTCTTTCATTGTATGGTTTTGCTTATTGGTTGGCTTCTGATTTCCAATGACTGAAATCTGTGCTATATGACATGGCTATTAATGTATCTCAATGCCAGAATCTTGTTTTTCATTATAGACCAGAGCAGACAATCAACTCAACGCTGTCCTCACCATCAAGTAATGCCCCAGATCCATGTGCAAAGGAGACCGTACTGAGTGCCCTCAAAGAGAGGAAGAAAAGGACAGTGGAGGAGGAAGATCAAATATTTTCTGATAGCCAGGAAAATAAAAGAAGGTAACAGGCCCTGCAGAGTACTAAATAGGCCACCCACACAGACTCCTGTGATTTGTTGAAATACAGATCACTCCCAAAAAGCAGAGACTAACTCCACAGTTTGTGAGCCTCAGTGGGTGCCCTTCTTTGGCTTCCATGGAAGAGCTTAGTAACAAGGGCTTTAATGCTGTTAGTTTCCTGCAGTACAGGTTAAATTTTATAACTTAACTTTTCCATAAGCTGACAGCTATTAGCAATGTTAGCCTCATACTTTTGACACAAATGTGCTCAAAGCTTTTTTTTTTTTTTCCTGAGAGAGAATGCTAAAAATCTTTCCCTGACCAGCTTGTGTTAATTACTTGGGTAACCACCATTCAAATGTCATATTTGTGCGGAAGGAAATGCTTGTCGAAGCAAAGTGAAGACTGGAATATGGTAGATTTATTGGTAATGAGACTAAACCTAATTTCATTATTTGGTTTCTGATATTTTAATGAAAATGAACCGTCTGTCTCCTAAGTGTGGAAAGAGCAGAGGTTGAAGTCACTAGTTATGATGCATAGCTTCTTATGGCTTTCCAAGAATCAGTTAAGGACTTCACTCCTCTTTTAATTCAACAGATTGAGCATCTAAGTTTGTGCCTGGGCCTGCTCCAGCATTAGGGCAGTGAGCAAGAGAGTCCCCATGGGCCTTGGATAATAAAATAAGGAATTAGAGATTGTAAGTGTATAGAGGTTTAAAAAAAAAACCACACAACAGGATCATATAACAGACTAATAAGGGAGGTTTTTTTTTTTATATATACATTGATGAAGGAAGCACTCTGAGAAGACAGTGGACCCCACTCTTGTTAAATATAACCATTGTCCTCCTCCCCATTACCTAGACCAGATTGGTCATATCCTGCAAAGTTGACTGTCTTTGATACTGCCAATGCAAAGTGAGGTAGGGAGATACTAATAAATGGAGGTGTTTTTATGTAACAAAAGAAGATCTCATGATTAGTAGAAATGACTTAAAAGTGAACAATTTGAACTAATGTCAACTGGCTAAGCAGGGGTGGCAAAGAGTGGGATGTGGCAGTGGAAGAGGGTATCATTCTTATGGTCCAAATAGGTCTCCCATATTATCCAAGTTCTAAGTTTTCTTGACCCTGGTGAGCCTAAAACAGGATTCTGTATTATCTTTCTCATGCTTGGAATAAGCAGTGATTATGGGCACCATGCATAGGCAGTTCTTACATGAGATATGTGAAATTTTTCCCTAACAGACTTATTAACCTCTAGAGCATTATGGGATGTGTGAGTTAGTCCCTAAAATGTTTTTAAAACATCTGTTTGAAAAAAAAAAATCTGTTTGTGGGTGGTAGGGTATTAAATTTGTGATTATAATACTTTGGAGAGAAGTTAGCAAGTAATACACCTGAGTAAGTTCAAAAGGTCTTGAAGCATTTTTATACTCATTATGAGGACAATCCTAGAATAAATCTACCTTTCAGAATCTTTAGGATTTGAAGCAGCCTTTTTCTTGTCTAGCATAGAACCTATATGCTATAGAAATAGTGTAAGAAAAAAAAAAGAAATAGTGTAAGATTATAGAAATATGAGAAGATACTCTAAAGAAAAAAAAACTGTCATTTCATTTAATTGAGGGTTTTTTATTTGTCACAGGCGCCATGATAGCAGCGGGAGTGGACATTCAGCATTTGAGCCCCTGGTGGCCAACGGAGTCCCCGCTTCTTTTGTGCCTAAGTATGTGAGAATCCATCTGAATGAGGTAGACTGGGGAAGGGCACGGTTGGAGCTGTTGTCTTGTAGATTTTCCTCTGTGTTGGTTGTATTGCTTTATTAGTCCAGGTACAAATCTGTGATAGAGCAACATTTTAAGTCACGTCCCATAATAACTATCATCTAATTTCTTTTAGTACTTTTTCATTAATATGGATAAAAAATATGGTACAGCTAAGAGTTTGTAAATATATTTCATAACTATGTAATAAACAGGTTTGTGCAAAGGTTAAAGTGCAACAGTATGAAATTTAAGATAAATGTTAAGTTTGTACGTTTGAGTTTGTTTATTTATTTATTTATTTATTTATTTATTTATTTATTTATTTATTTTAAGATTTTATTTATTCATGATAGACACACAGAGAGAAAGAGGCAGAGACACAGGCAGAGGGAGAAGCAGGCTCCATGCAGGGAGTCTGACGTGGGACTCGTTCCTGGGTCTCCAGGATCAGGCCCTGGGATGAAGGTGGGACTAAACCACTGAGCCACCCAGCTGCCCCTGTATGTTTGAGTTTAAATACATTTAAGAGTTGGATGAGAAGGAAAGTGGCTTATGAAAAGATTTGTGGTAACTTACATCCTTATTGAGTCAGGAGGATGATAAGGCTGCCAAAAGAGCTAATGTGCTTTTGGTCTGTGCTGATAGGAGAACAGAGACTAGAATGGAGCAAGTGAGGGGTAATTGTGCTTTCCTCAATTATGTTCAGATTGTCCATGCAGTGTTGTGTTTGGGTCGAAGATGTAAGAGGATAAACACAACCTGACCTGTGTTCTGAGTGAGTGAAGCAGTTGTAAAATGTTACAGGGTGGTGGTGTTTGAGTGGATTTTGAAAGTATAAAGTATCGATCCAAGGGGAAAAAAATATGAAGGGGAGTTAAGGGAATGAGGGAGGGAAGGATAATGGTCTCCAGAAACCTAAACAGCAGTTGCATGAAGAAAAGGCCAACAGTTGTTTGATTTGGCTCCAAACAGATGCCCAGGTGAACTATAGGTGGAAGTTAGAGGAAATACATTTTGAGTGTAAGAATAAATTAGCCTGTAGTTAATATTCATTACTATAGGAGAAAGTGAGTTGTCTACATTGTAACAAAGATTAGGTAACTATTGTAAAGGAACGATGTTTCAGTTGGAAGCTTAGAAAAACTGGTTGGATTCTCTCTCTCTCTCTCTTTTTTTTTTTTTTTTTTTTTTTTACGATAGTCATACAGAGAGAGCGAGAGAGGCAGAGACACAGGCAGAGGGAGAAGCAGGCTCCATGCACCGGGAGCCTGACGTGGGATTCGATCCCGGGTTTCCAGGATCGCGCCCTGGGCCAAAGGCAGGCGCCAAACCGCTGCGCCACCCAGGGATCCCATGGTTGGTTTCTCTTAGCTCTGATTTTTTTAGTAGGTTTATTGAGGGATAATTGACAGATTGTGCTTTTTTTAAAGTGTACAATTTGGGGATCCCTGGATGGCTCAGTGGTTTGGCGCCTGCCTTTTGCCCAGGGCGTGATCCTGGAGTCCCGGGATCGAGTCCCATGTCGGGCTCCCAGCGTGGAGCCTACTTCTCCCTCCTCCTGTGTCTCTGCCTCTCTTTCTCTCTCTCTCTCTATATATATATGATGAATGAATGAATGAATGAATGAATGAATGAATGAATAAATAAATAAATAAATCCTTAAAAAATAAATAAATGAAGTGTACAATTTGATAAGTTCTGACGTGTATACACCTGTTATACCATCGCTATAGCCAAGGTAATAAACGTAACGGTCACCTTCAAAAGTTGCCCCATGCCCATTAGTAACACCTCCCTCCAGTCCTGCCCCCATCCCCAGGCATCCATTAATCTGCTTTTTGTCACTGTAGATTAGTGTGCATTTTTTTCTAGAATATTATATAAGTGAAATCATGCATTTAATTTTTAAAATATTTGTCTTTCCCTTCCTGGCTTTGTCTGAGCTACTTAGCTGAAATGGTAACTATAGTATTAAGAGCTTCATTTTTTTTTTTATTGAGTTTATTTAAGAAATGTTTTGTGACCATGGATGAAGCCTTAAAAGAATGTTGCCTTAAATAGCACAGCTCACTGTCTTTTTCTTTTTTATTAGGCCTGGCTCTCTGAAGAGAGGTCTCAATTCCCAGAGCTCAGATGACCACTCGAATAAGAGATCTCGCACCTCTTCCATGAGCTCCTTGACGAGCACGTACACAGGTGGCATCCCTAGTTCCAGTCGCAATGCCATTACTAGTTCTTACAGTTCTACTCGAGGTTTCTCTCAGGTATGTTCATCTTGGTGCATGGGAGAAAGGTGTTCTGAGCATTAATTAATTGATTAGCCAGTGTTTACTAACCTCATTCCATCCTTCAGATATTAGGATTACCTCTGAGCTAAAAGAAGGTACAGATCCTCAAATGGATGCTTAGACCCAGGGGACAAAATAGAAATCCCAGAAGATAAACCAGTTCATGTGGGGACACCTGATGCCAAACAGCCAGTATTCCAGATAAATGAACAAAGGATGAATAATTCAGTAAATAATACTAATTTGATTGAAAAGGTAGATTCAGTCTAAATTGCACTGAGTCGTGAAATTCATCTTATTGTCATTGAGAATTTAGTGAAAGTTTTTTAAATATTGTAATTTTTAAAAATTCTTTTTTAGAAAAAAATTACTCTTTCTTAGAGAATATAGTATGGCCTAGGGAACCGAGCAAGCTTTGCTACCAGACAGATTCAGATTCACATTTTAGTTCTGACACTTAGTAGCTATAGGGCTTTGGGCAGGTAAATCACTTCAACTTATCTTTTCTCATCTCCCAAGGATTATTATAAAATAAAGATTGTAGGTAATGCTTAAAAAATATCCATTACAGTACACGTCAGTAAGCGGGTACTCTATATATAGTAGCTAGAAAAAAAATGAAGTGTGCATGGAAGAAGAGTTTGAGAGAAGAATGCTTTTGAGATAAGGTAATCCAGAAGAATTTTACAATAATGTAAATGAAAGATGAAGGCCTAAGCCTGAGCAGTTCTAGGAATAACACCACAACAGGCAGATTGAGGATAATTCTCAAGAGCCCTAGGATTTTCAGAATGGTTAATGAGTACTGGCTTCAACTTAGTCACCAGCCATATTGACCCTTAACAAGAGAATCAGCCTGTCTTTTGAAGCCAGGCACTGACTTCTTTGTAGTTTATGAAACTTTATGAAAGTCCTGGATGGCATCTTCTTCCAGTATAGGCTCTCTGTCTTGAAATTCCCGTTGTTTGCTGTAGCCCCTTTAATTAATGATCTTAGCTAGATCTTGTGGATGACCTACTGCAGCTTCTACATCAGCCCCTGCTGCTTCCCCTTGTTAGGGAGATGTCTTCTTACCTCACTGAGTCAGCCTCTACTAGCTCCAGACTTCTCTCCTGCAACGTTCTCACCTCTCAGCCTTCATGGAATTAAAGGGTTAGGCTTTGCTCTGGTTTAGGCTTTGGCTTAAGGCAATGTTGTGGCTGGTTTGATCTTCTACCCAGACCACTCAGACTTTCTCCAGATCAACAATAAGGCCTTTTCACTTTATCATTCATACATTCCTTTTTTTTTTTTTTCATTCATATATTCATGTGTTCATTACAGTAGTACTTTTAATTTCCTTCAAGGACTTTTCCTTGGGGCTTACAACTTGTCTGTTTGGTGCAAAAAGCCTAGCTTTCAGCCTGATTTGGCTTTTGACCTGCCTTCCTCACTAAGCTTGCTCATTTGTAGCTTCTGATTTAACATGTGAGATGTGCAACTCTTCCTTTCAGTTGAACACTTAAGAGGCTACTATAAGGGTTGTCAACTGATATAATTGCAGCGTTGTAGTCTTTCAGCAAATAGGCCAGAAGAGAGGGAGAGAGATGGGAGAACTGCCAGTTAATGGGACAGAGCACACATATTTATCAGTTAAGTCTGCCACCTTTTAAAGGTGTGGTATGTGGCTCCTCAAAATAATTACAATAGTAACATCAAGGATGACTGATCACAGATCACCCTAACAAAGGGAATAATAATAAAAAGTTGGAAATATTGCAACACTTAATCAAATGTGAGACAGAGATAGGAAGTGAGCGAATGCTGTTAGGAAAACGCCACCAATAAGCCTTGCTTGAAGCAGAGTTGCCACAAACCTTCAATTTGTTCAAAACAGCAACATTTGCAAAGTACAATAAAACAAAGTATGTCTGTACTCATCTATTCTTAAAATCTTTTTATTATGTCAAATTTCAAATGCATACAAAAGGAAAGGGAATCTAATGGACATCCCTATAGCTTCACTAGTTAGTTACTAGCATTTTGTCTTATTTCATCAGTCCATCCCCACCCTGTTTTTGCTCTGGAGTTGCGTTTTACAGTAAATTACAAACCTGTTATTTCTTCAGTGTGTTTTATTATTTTTTTATTTTTATTTTTTTTAAGATTTTATTTATTCATGAGAGAGAGAGAGAGGCAGAGACATAGGCAGAGGGAGAAGCAGGCTCCATGCAGTGAGCCTGACGTGGGATTTGAACCTGGGCCTCCAGGATCATGCCCTGGGCTGAAGGCAGGCACTTAACCGCTGAGCCACCCAGGAATCCCTCTTCAGTGTGTTTTAAAACTTTTTTAAACATTAATGACCACAGCACCATTATTCCTCCTAAACAGCAATAACTTTTTTTTTTTTTTAAAGATTTATATTTAATCATTTGAAAGTGAGAAAAAGAGATCACAGTGGAAGAGGGAGGGGGAGAAGCAGACTCCCGCTGAGCAGGGAACCCAATGCGGGGCATCATCCCAGGACCCTGAGATCATGACCGGAGGCTCATGCTTAACTGACTGAGCCACCCAGTTGCCCCAATAATTTTTTAATATTAGTTAGTATTGCTCCATGTTCAGATTGCCCATGTTATCCTAAACTTATTACAGTTCCTTTGTTTGAATGAGGGACCAAACATCAATTCTTTTACATTTGGTTTCTTAGACTCTCTGAATCTGTAATACTACTATTTTTTTTAATGCCTTTAAAAAAAAAAAAAAACTGGATCATTTTGTTCTGTGGAATTTCCCACATTCTGGATTAATTTTCTGTCATTGTGGCATCGTTTTAACATGTACAGGATCCCCTATGTTTGTAAACGGGAAGGTGAGTCCTGAGGCGTGATTAGATTCGAGTTATTTGGCAGAGCATTGCACAGGTGATACTCTGTACTTGTGATTGCATCACCCCAGGAGTGCATGAGGTCTAGCTGCCTCCCTTTTTGGAGGTTAGTAATGATCCCTGAGCTCAGCTGTTTTCAGTCCGATTCTTCCATTTTAAGTTCTCTGTTTTTCATTTGATTTTAGCAGCCATATATCATCTTTGCCTAGGTCCATGATTTTATTAGGTTGTAAGATGGTGGTAATCTGATTCTCTTGTTCTCTCTGCATGTATTAAAATTCTATACAGTAGAATGTGCCGTTCTGGTGGATTATGCAACTCTAGATCCTTGTGGTCATGAGTTCAGGTCGCACATTGGATATAGTGATTACTTAAAAATAAAATCTGTTTTAAAAAAAAATTGTTCTGGGGTGCCTGGATGGCTCAATTGGTTAAGCATCTGATTCTTGATCTCAGCTCAGGTCTTGATCAGAGAGTCATGAGTTCAAGCCCCACCTTGGGCTCCATGCTGGGCATGGAGCCTACTGCTACAGGGCTGGATCTCACAACCCTGAGATCATGATGTGAACCAAAATCAAGAGTCATTCAACCACTGAACCACCCAGGTGCCCCATATTTGTGTCTTTTATGAGTGAGTTTGGGCAGATTTTCACATATTAGAGAAACATTCCAAATGAACTAAGTATTTAAATGTAAAATAAAAACCATAAAAGTGTTTGCAAAAACAGGCTTCTCATGCATTGCTGTTGGGAATGTCAATTTATACAGTTCTCTGGAGAGCAGTATGGCAGTAATTATCAATATTAGAGATGTATGTGCCTTTTGATCCAGTAGGTTTGCTTTTAGGAGTTAATTCTCTTTGTATGCTCAAGAGTATATAGGAGGGTGTTGATTGTAGCATTTTAATAGCAGAAGCTTGGAAACAATGTAAATATATCTTGGGGAGGGGGACTGGTTAACGGTATTTCCATAAGTTTTATAAGCTACATACAATACTATATGTAACTATCAAAAAGAATAAGGTAGCTTAATAGGCACTGGTGTGAATTCAAAAATACAGAACAAAAGCAAGGTGCGGAACTGTGTATATACTGTCCTCTGTTATTTGTGCGACTGGTTTCTTTAATCTTTTAACATGCATAGAATAATTTTGAGACATTTTATTAGAAACCAGGAGTAACTATGAGGTTTCTACCTCATAGAAAACTTTTTACTGTGTACTCTGCTCCTTGGAGTTTATGACATGTGCTGCAAGTACTGCTTTGCTTTTCCTGGTTTCAAAAAGTTTTTAAGGGACCCTGAGTGGCTCAGCAGTTGAGTGTCTGCCTTCGGCTCAGGGCATGATCCTGGATCTGGGGATCGAAGTCCTGTATCGGGTCCCTGTGAGGAGCCTGCTTCTGCCTCTATGTCTCTGTATCTTTCATGAATAAATAAATAAAATCTTTAAAAAGGGGGGGGGTTAGGTGTAGATAGCTGTTAAGTAAGATAAAATTAAAAAAAAAAAAAGGTAAGATAAAATTCCCCTGTTCTTGGGGTGCCTGGGTGGCTCAGTCAGCTAAGCAGCTGCCTTCAGCTCAGGTCATGATCTCCCTGGGATCAGGCCCTGAGTCAGGCTCCCCGCTCATCAAGGAGTCTGCTGCTTCCTCTCCCTCTCCCTCTATGTGTGTACTCTCTGTCTCTCAAATAAAATCATTAAAAAAAAAAATTTCCCTATCCTGGCTGTCCCAGTCTTCATCCCATAGGTAGGTACCTGTTGTTAACATTTGTACTATGTGTGCAAATAGATAATACACAGAATTTTTTTTTTAAGATTTATTTATTTATTCAGAGAGAGAGAGAGAGGCAGGGACAGGCAGAGGGAGAAGCAGGATCCATGCAGGAAGCCCGACGTGGGACTCAATCCTGGGTCTCCAGGATCACACCCTGGGCTGCAGGCGGCACTAAACCACTGCACCACTGGGGCTGCCCAGTACACAGAATTTTTTGGTCTGTGTTACACAAATGGGATCATTACATTATATGCTTTTTTTGTCTTTTTGATCACATATTGCATAGCATTCTGTGTCAAATCTATATTGAAAAACATTTTTAAATTAGAGTATAATGTAGAAAA